CTTTGAGGATGTCCAAATCGAAGAGCTCAATGTTCCAGACACTTTCGCCACTTCCTTCACTTGCTGCACTGAAGATTGTCGTGACTACTCCAACTGACTGTCCTGATCAAGCTGAGCCCTGGGGTCGCCGACCATGGATCGTTGATTTGTACGATCTCAATGGAAACACCGAGGTCATCTTCATCGCCGCCGCACTTGGTATTCCAGCTTTCATCTTGACTTTCTTGGATAACGGTATCACTTGGCACATTGTCAACCACCCAAGCAACAGACTTGCCCACGGAGATGCCTACAACTACGATACTGTCACCTCTGCCATCATGGTCTCTTGGTAAACTCCTTGATGGGCTTGCCCTGGTTGGTCGCTTCTACTGTCCCATGTATCATGCACATCACTGCCATGCAAGAGAAGGACGACAAGGGCGAAGTCAAGTACATCCAAGAATCTCGGTTGACTGGACTTCTCACCCACGGATTGGTGTTGGCCTGCATCTTTGCTCTCTCGGTCATCAAATTGATCCCTCTTCCCGTTCTATACGGTGTCTTCTTGTTCATGGGATTGGTCGCTTTGCCAGGCCAACAGTTCTACCAACGATTCATCCTTCTTTTCCAACAACCAAGCAAGATCACCAAAAACCACTACACGTCGCATGTTCCCATGAACCGCATTCACAAGTACACCATGTTCCAGCTCCTTTTCTTCGGCATCGTTTGTGTTGTCCGAGAAATCAAGTCCATCTCGATTGCTTTCCCAGTGATGGTTCTGTTGTGTATTCCAGCACGCTTGTACTTGCACCCCAGATTGTTTTCGGAGGACGAATTGATTTTGATGGATGGATCTCCAGAAGAGATTGAAAACTGGCTGCTCAAGAACGACCCCGAAGGAGAGGCTGTCGAGAAGCCAAGTAAGAGCGCACAAGACGAACACATTGCGCAAAACGGGCTCAAGCTTCCCGATGAAGAAGTCGCAAACGCGTAAAGAGTGACAAAATCTCGGTTCTTTTCCGTGATGGTGTTTTTGGCCACCACAGGCAAGACGAATTGTGGGACCATAACAGATACAAGCACAGCACTGCAATCCTTCTTTGAGAGGGATGACGATGCTCCATAGGACTATAGAACATAATTCAAATTGTTGTTATATTATTTTTAAGATTTCCAATTGCAAACTGATTTCTTCTGCTTCTAGAGTTGAACTTGTTGCGATACAGCTCCAAATAACTGCATTTATCGTTTCTAAAGCTAGTTTCCTTAGGCTATCCGGCTGGGACAGCATGGAAATGCGATAGTTGATCCTCCAACAAAAGTAGTACTACCGGTAGCTAGTACCTGTCTCTTCATCTTTTGACATTGGTGTCCTTCAAAATTGCGGAAGGAAATCCTTATTTCATGCTCTCTGGAGCGTCAACGTGTACAGGGTTGAATACTGGGTAGAAACTCCCGAGCTGTACAGCACGACAGTGCCATATAACCGAACATCATTGTACAAGTGTCCAGAGGCTTGGCGAAGCTCAGCTTAAAAGTTGTTCTTACGTGCGTGGTCTTATCGAATTTTTGACGCCTTTCACCAACTTCTCGTTTTCTACTGTACCATGCCCGTAAACTCGAACCCAAGAACAGGCATTTGACGTCACAGTTTCGAGTACACTGCAATTCATTACTTGATTGGAGACGATTTCAGGCGGGGGGTGGCTCTAGCCGCAGTGAACGAAACATTCCGCCGTCGTGTGTGAATTGGGATACGATGGGGATCGGCGAGTTGATTCTTAGTAATTGTTTTAACGTCAGCATAGGTAGTATCGTTCGGGTACCAGGTACACGTACCAGAGGTACCCGTACCAAGTACCAGTACAGTACTCGTATCCGGTATCTTTGGATGCTCCTTTCTTTCTCACTTCTAAGCATGGAATTCGTTTTAAATCGGATGCGACAAATTTGTGAGGAAATGATCGCGCTGATGTTTCCGGCCCGCGTCAAAGTGTGACGTTTCATGCATCACGCAAGGTATTGTCCATAAGTTGTTCTGACGTTTCTGACATCTTGCAAATCAACGAATTCTCGTACTCTCGCGTACAACCTACTACGACAAAAGCTCGTATTTGACGTCACACTTTCGAGTACGTCACAAATCCATTACTACAAAAGATGACATCTTGGGGATGATAGACATGGAGATACATATTCTACTCATACGTTTGGGGGGCCTCCACAAACAAATCTGCCTTTAGTAGTGTTTGTCATCTGATCGAAAAGACAAATATCAATGGACGTTCCTTTCTTTCTCAATTCTCGCGTTTCCCACATCTCTCTCGTCAAAATCAGCTTCGTCTCA